TTTTATTGAAGTGTAGTTGCTTTATAATGTTAGCTTCAGGTGTACAGCAAAGTGATTCAGATATACATACATATATATGTGTATATATATATTCTTCAGATTCTTTTCCATTACATGTTATTACAAGAGATTAAATGTATTTCCCTGTGCTACTCAATTTTTTTTGCCATTCATCCATTTTTTAACATTTTTTATTGATTTATTATCGTTTTACAATGTTGTGTCAAATTCCAGTGTAGAGCACAATTTTTCAGTTACCCATGAACATGTATGTATTCATTGTCACATTTTTTTCTCTGTGAGCTACCGTAAGATCTTGTATATATTTCCCTGTGCTATACAGTATAACCTTGTTTATCTATTCTACATTTCTGAAATCCCAGTCTGTCTCTTCCCACCCCCCACCACCTTGACAACCACAAGTTTGTATTCTATGTCTGTGAGTTTATTTCTGTTTTGTATTTATGTTTTTTGTTTTGTTTTGTTTTGTTTTGTTTTTAGATTCCACATATGAGCGATCTCATATGGTATTTTTCTTTCTCTTTCTGGCTAGTAAGCTACTCAATGTTTTTAATGCGTTTTGCCACTAGTAGTAGTTTGCCAGCCATGCCAAAGTTTCAGAGCAGCTGCTTTTCTTTAATACTCAGTTATTCTCTATGACATTTTCAGGAAGGATGTTGACCTGAAAAGGAGATGAAACATCAAAATCTACCTTGATGAGTCAGACCTTCTGTTTGATTATAAATCGTGATTAGACAATATTAAACATTATGCTACGAACTGGCATTTTTCCTTCTTGGAGGTTATGCCATGAAGTTATTTTAGTTTACTCAGTTTCGTGACTAGGAAACTTCTGTTCTTAACAGCTGAGTAAGTTGCCAAGTTCTATACTCTCCAAAGAAACAAAATTTCACTTGTCATAAATGACTCATATCCTCATGTTAAACAAATCAGTGAACTACCATTGCGGAAAGCTTTTTTGATTTTATTGTTTTAAGAATGTGTTCCTCTTCCTGATTATCTCGTTTTAAAATCAAACCGAATAATGCTAAGTCATTCTGAATAGCAAATTTCCTCCAACTTTGTGGGAAACTTATGACATCACATGAGAAGTTGAGAGTATCACAGCTCCTTGAGGCAGACTACTCCCCTGAAACGTGACTCGCACATTGTGACGGCAAAGTTTAGCAGAAATAACTGGAGAACCTTGCTCTTCCTGCAAACTTATCAGACATACACAGCTGAGAGCTCCTGTGAGCTTTTATCCTGTCCTGTGTGGCTATGTGGCGAATGCAGAGCTCATAAGTGTGGACTTAACACTAATCTTGATTTTTATAGTCCTAGGAGTCCCTTTTTCAGTGGAGAGCTGAGAGCAGCGTTTACTTCTTTGTTAGGTCTGTGCTCATTTTAAACAATTCTGCAATGCGTAAAACTTGCTGTAACAAAATAATGATAAGGAAGTCTTTTGTTCCTTTTCTAACATCCAGAATTTGCCCGGGATGTGCCTTCCACTCTTTGCTGATAATCTGAATATTACTCTTCAAAGGTCAACTTAAATTCTGTCTTTTCCACAGTTAATTTCCTGTTCACTCTGGTTTATGGTATTTCTTTGCTCTCTTAATTCTTCTGAAAAATGCAGTCTCTGTTTCTCATTTGACATTTAACATGATGTCCTGTAGTCTCCTTAATATTTCAGGCATCTGTGCTCTGTTTCCCTGTTAAAACTGCAAGCATTTCAAGCATATATGACCAAGTGTCACATTTTTTGTGACCCCTCTACTGCTTACTTTAGTGCCCTAATTGTAAGATATTAAATTCTTTTTGAACAAATGACCGAAAAATTAAGGTTTCAATATTTTGAATACAACATACTCAGCATTCCAGTGAGTGTACTACTTACTTACTTAGATAGAGTGCTGGCTGGTCAGGAAGGCAGGCTTTGGAGCCTGATGCAGCTGGACTTGAGTCCCTCTTCAGCCCCGTATTGGCTAATTGTATTGGCTAATTAGCCGTGCTTTGGCTAATTGCTTAGCAGTATGATAAACATGATTGCTCCAATTGCAATAGTAGCACCAATACAGTGCTCATTCATTTATTCATTCATTCCAAAAACTGTTACTGAATGGTGTATGGCCAGTTAAAGAGATCTAATGTGGAATAAGCCGCAATTTCTGTTCTCAAGTAGCTCATAATCAAATGTTACTTGAATCCCAAGAGAGCTGCCTCGTGTGTGTGTGTGTTGTGTTTGTGTACAGAAAAAATTACCTAGATGTATTCTAAAGCTTTTTTAAGGGGTTCATATATTTCTTGGTGATAATAGACTCACATTACTTGGTTGGACTTTCAAATAGAGTAATGAATGGCTTGAGGGGTGTCAAGATACTGAGGTGCTATAATATTCATTCCTCTTCCATTGAAAACACCCATGGTACCTAAATGCTCATTATTAAAATTATACTTCAGATTAAGTTACTCTTGTCAGAAATAATCTGTAACACATCAGTACATTGCAGGGGTCATTCTATGGAGTTCACACATCACCATACAGTCAATATTTATTGGTTTTCTACTGTATGACAGACATTATACTAAACACTGAGGATAAAATAGTGATTAAGATGGACAGTTTTATACTTACAGACTTTCCTATGGAATAGGTTCCCTATGCTGAAGAACATACCTCAAGGTAGAAGAAGTTTAGTGAAGATGCTATTTTTTTTTTCTGTAGTTAACCTAAATATATTTTTTTCTAGCCCTGCAGCCACTGCTGTGATATCTCTGGCATTTGGACGCTACATTCTGGAACCATTTTTTATTCAATGTGAAATTCCTGAACTTGCAATCAAGCTCATTACAGCCGTGGGCATAAGTGAGTATCATAGGTGTAAATCTGAAAAAGAAAAAAACCCACAAAAGTGATTAGAGACATAGTTTCTTCAGACTTCCTACACGCTGAAACTGTTCCCCACATGGTATTCTTTTTGCTTACAACACCTTGCCAAAGTTGTTCTGGGAAATAAAAAAATAAGGATTTGGAGTGATCCCTGATACTATGTTACATGCCAGTTTTGCACTGGGTCAATAGATATGATGGCTGATCTTTTTAAATAGGCAAACAAAAGCACCTTGTTAGTGAACTAGTAACTGGATTGTACATTTAAAAAAAGACTTCTACAAAAGAAAACCCAATTTTTAACGGATTTTCTGAATTAGAAATGATCCTTCCTTGGTAGTAACGTGTTGAACTGTAACACACGTATCCTTGTGGAGTGATGATTCTGTGTTGAGTGTGTTGTGCTCACACATTTCCTAGTGTTAACATCTGTCACTCTCATTATGCTTTATGATTTTAAGTGTCCATCAATGATCATGATAAGAGTCTTCTTTCAATATTTGATTATTAGTAGCATTTCTCAACTAGGAGTTTTCTTTACGGTCTCCAAATTAGGAAGTTGTTCATTTCATTAATGGGCACAGATACTAGAACTTTTTTTTAAAAAAAAAGGAAATAAAATGGAAGAACATGCACAACATTACATATGTGGTGTGAAGACAAATATGACTCTAATTTCCTAATACAAGAGTCTAGATTCCAGAGCCTTGAATATGATGGAAAATGATTACTAAATTGTAGATACTGTTTGAATCACTGTTTTAGGAATCAATATGATTCCATCTGATTAAGTTTGAACTACTTGGAAAGAGAGAGCTACACAGGAATAACTGAATTGCAAACTCAGGAATGAAATTTTAGTTGTAGATGGCTGAGGTGTTTCAATAGAGCAGTAAAGAAAGAGATGAACATTTACCAATGGAGAAATGAGGGGTTAGTTAGCAGGAAAGAGTTAGGAATTACACATAATGCATCTCTAGTGTTAAGTACATGTATTTCTGAACTTAAACAGGTTCATCCTGGATTTCACCCTTAATCCAAGAAGCATATACACATAATTGTTCTGTGAAGTCTCTAAAGAAAGACAAATACTGGAATTAGATATTTCTAAGTTCTGGAGTGGTGATGGTGTACTTGATTCATCTTGTCCTTAACACACACTACAGATGTGAGACGTGGGGACAAGTCACTTAACCTTTCTGCACCAGTGTTCTTATCTGTAAATCATGCTCGGTCTCATAAGGTGTCTTGTCAGGATTTAATGATATTAAAAGACATGATGTATATAAAGTGTTTTGGGTAATGCCAGAAATTTTTAGAGAACAAATTACAAATGGTAGCTATTTATACCCTTGTGGGAAAACATCGTTGGAAGTTCCATGAGACCAGGGGCTCATTCTCTGTACTATTTCCAACCCTTCACATAGCTCCTAATATGTTGTTTGTGCTCAAGAAATATTTGTTGACAACTGATTTTCTATGAGAAGAGGTCTGATAATTTTTCTCTAGTTGAGAAGCCAGTGGAATGTCTGCATATTGAACTTGGAGAATGACACATCCTCAAGTTTCTCAGGCAGCAGGAAATTGGTGGTAAATGAAATAGACTTTGCTTGATGTGATGTTCAGATCTAACACCATGAATTTTTGAACCATCTTAGCATAGTGGTTATAGCTCAGGCTCTGGAGGCAAACAACCTGGAATTGAAATTCTGTGCAATAGTTTCTTAGTTACGTGATTTGGGGGGCTAACTATTGAACCTCTTTAAGCATCAGTTTTTTTATTGGTAAAATACCTGTGAAAAGATAATTTATCTTGAATGACTGGAAGGATGAAATTAGTCAGATTTGTAAGACCTTGAGCAGAGTGCCTTTCCCAAAGAAAGTTCTTAATAAATCTGGTGTTCCTCTAAGGGGTCGGATCAGTAGCAATTGCTGTACCCATTATATTCTTGTCCCTCAACTGACTGAGGCAGAATTATTATATTCAAAAAGAGAAAGGTAGGGGTATCATTTTTTGAGAGCTCTGTGAATTGCCAGTAAAGGTTACTCATTAAAAGCTACTACAGCAAACTTTCAGTAGATATTATACAAATATTTACAAATCCACAGCTTGGACTGAGATAGACTTGAAATGAGATGGATAATGATAACATATTACTATTTGGGGAAGTCTAAATGACTTCTTATTTATCCCAATTCTACTAAACTTTTTAAAGGAAAAATTTGTATTTTAGAAGAGTAAATGGAAACCGTTCAAACCAAAATTTGAAAACAATTATAGGTAGGGCTGATTAAGTATGTTGCAGTTTATTTACAAAACTCCTGCAGTAGAGATTGGTGATAGACTAGATAGCAGACAGCCTGAGGAAATCTTGGATTAACCTAGACAGGTCCTTCTATTTTTGCCGTTAGTTACAACAGGAGTTTGCAAATTTTGATGTTTCTTTTGCAAGCTTGAGTCTCTGAGGAAATATTTTCCTAGGATCAGAAGCACTAAAAGAGGAAGCTGGCTATGCTTATGACTCAGTGGTAGATAATGTAAATCAGTGGTCTAACTGGGAATGCCAGACTGTCTCTGAGAAGAATTGAGCTTTAATGGAGCAACAGTAGGTGGAGATGGAGATAGAGAAGGAGAAACTAGCCTGGGGGCAAATCTCTCACATTCTGCAGCTTTCAAAGTGAGGAGAGGGGTAGAAGGTTAGTGAGATGGAGAGAAGAGAGTTGAATGGTATGAACTGCTTCCCTGTCTTCCCTACAGGGGAAGGAAACAGTTTGTAGGAGCTTGAATTCTTTCTTTCAAGTACAGAAGATGAGCAAACCTTGAAGGACCTGGTTATAATCAAATCATAGAGAAAAAGAACTTCAAGGTTGGTGAAATGTGAACCAACTATTTAAGAAATCAGAGTAGAGTGGGTGTTGGGAGTTACTAAATACTAATTTGCCCCCTGCCTTTAATGTACTCTTTTTCATTTGCATCAAATTAATAAAAATTAAGAGTTTTTGCTTATCCAGAATCCTGTCCATTCTGGTAGACATGTCAGACACTTGGAAGTTTAACAGGGAATCTTAGATATTCACCCGTCAACTCGCCTCTAGCCCAGTACTGTTATGACTCCCTTTGTCTTCTATGGGACTTCATGAACTTTCACTCTCCTTGTAGCTTCAGTAAGCATCGAAATATGTTCAGTATATAAAATGACATCTAGTCTTTTGTTCTGGTCTCCTGAAACTAGACCCTATGTAAATATACCTTTGAATGGCAGAATATTATAGTAAAAATATTTTCCTTACAGTGTGAGATCTACTCCCAGAGGCATCCCTAACAACTTCTCTGAGTCTCAACTTTCTTGCTAGTTTAGTTTATGTAGGTGAGTAAAGAGCCCTATCTTCTTTTTAATTAATTAATTAATGTTAACACCTAAATTGTGGTATGGTTCCTGTACAATAAACTACTCATATTTCAGACATACAATTTGATGAATTTTGATAAATGATACACCCTTGAAACCACCACCACAATCAAGATACCTGACATTTCCATCACTCCCTAAGAGGTGCAATTTTTGTGTTCCCAATTTATCCCTTCCCACCCCCTTTAGCCTCTGGTAACCATAAGTTTGTTCTTTTTGTCTGAGTCTATTTCTGTTTTGTAGGTAAGTTCCTTTGGGTCCTTTTTTTAAGATTCCACATACAAGCAATATCATATGGCATTTCCTTTCTCTTTCTGGCTTACTTTACTTAGAATGATGATCTCCAGGTCCATCCATTTTGCTGCAAATGGCGTTTTTATTCTTTTTTATGGATGAGTAGTATTCTGTTGTATAAATATACCGTAACTTCTTTATCTAGTCATCTATCAATGGACATTTGAGTTGTTTCCATGTCTTGGCTATTGTAAATAGTGCTGCTGTGAAATCTGGGGCACATGTGTCTTTTTGAAATGTATTTTTCTCTGGATATATGCCCAGGAGTGGGATTGCTGGATGATATGGTAAGTCTATTTTTAGTTTTTTAAGGAACTTCCATACTGTCCTCCATAGTGGCCGCACCAATTTACATTCCTACCAACAGTGTAGGAGGGTTCCTTTTTCTTCACACCCTCTCCAGCATTGAGCCCTATCTTCTTCTCTTAACTTGTGGGCATAATTAGGGGAAGCGAACAAAATAACACTTGTGATTGCATTGTGAGGAACAAAATAACCATCTCTACAAGAGCATTACTGTATTTTCTTTTCTAAAATTGTGTTTTCCTGGCATCATTAAATTACATGAAAGATAATCTAGGAACGGTTCTGGGCTAGCATTTCAAATATTGCATGTGGAGCGGCTCTGTTTAAGTCTTCTGAAGTCTGGCTATCCCTACTCCTTTTCTACCAAAACTAAATACCATGACAACCAATTCTTAGGTAGAGAAACATGGTACTGAAATATACAAGGACTGCAAACAACAACCATACCCTTCAGAAGGGTGACAGATGAAATGTGGAACCAGTGTGTTCTGAAGTCCCAGCCAAGATAAACATGAACCTTAGCAGAGATGAAGAGCCACCAGGAGTTTGGAAGAAATAGATATGCTAGTGAGATCATATAGGTCTTTTGAACTACTTCCTCTTTGATGGTTACCTGTGAGGGAGGGGTCAAAAGAGTGGACTAGAAAATCAGTTTACTTGGCCCGGATCCTATCTTCACACTTAACCTCTGAGAACATAGGCAAGTTAAGTAGTGTACGGATTTTCAGCTGCTCATCTGAAAGATAATGCCAATAATGGTAACCACATCCCAGAGACATGAGGATTAAATAACATTATCCGTGTAAGGATTACATTTATTGAATGCTTACCATTTTTATTCTGAATAGTGAGATCCTAGATATAGTCTCTCTGCTCTGTAAAGGTGTTTATGGCTACACAACTTCTCTGAAATTAATGCATCCAGGAAGTGAATGCGAACAAAAAGAGAAAGGCAACCCAGGCAGCTGTCACAAAGAACAGTGGAGCAATTCACTTTAGCTCACCCATACAGTGCACATATGTTTTGCCAGTTTAGCACAAAGCAGAAGTCAGTAGCCAGGGAGAACCTGTACCTGGGAGAAAACCCAATATATCCAGGCTCAGTAATCTCACTCTGCAAAACGAAAGACAGACTTGAATTACGGAAATGCAGAAAGAAGTAATTTGCCAATCCTTAAATCACTGCATCGGTTCTTAACACTCCTCTAAACATCCACTTCACATGCAGCTCCCTTCCATATGCATTTCTGATCACCAGGATATATCCATATAGCTTTCATTGCTGCCTTTCACTTCCTAAGAAACTGAATCATTACTGGGTAAATAAAAACTATATGTCCCTCTAGTTTCAATTTGGTAACATTTAATGCAAGCAAAAAAATAATAATAATAAGCCTAAGTTGATACAAGTAATTTCTAATGTGCGAAATTACCAATTATTATTCAAAGGAAGTAAAATTAGGAGGAGGAAAGCTTACTCAGATTTCTTTGATTACAATGGGTATAGATAGTATATAAGAAACAAAGTAGATATTATTTGTTTCAGAAATTCCAAAAGCTCTTGCATTTAGTGAATCCCAAATCCCTTTTCAATATTGTTGGATAAGTAACATACATAGACTTAAATTTCTCTGTAAAAACACGTTATGAAACAGCAGTTCCAGCCACTTGAGGACCTTCACGGTGCCTCTGTACTGACTGCCTTGTTACCTGTTAAGCTGTATTCCTCAGGGTCAGAGAGGTACATCTCATCTGGAATTTGGCATACCAAATAATGAGGGTGCTGTCTGGATGCTCAGATAAAGCAGGGTTTTGGGAAACCTTTGAGAGAAATCAGTTTTAACCAGAATTTTTATTTCCGCTGTCTGAGAGGAAAGCAAGGTGAGATTATCAAGGCATAATATTTGTTCGATTTTTGTTTTCCATTTTTCTAAGAAAACTGAATGAAATATAAAAGAAAATTCTTCAGATTCATTTTTTTCCTTCTGTTTCATCAGGCATTAAGTGCATACGTGCTTTACGAAAGTAACAAACCCTCTTTTCTCTTCCCAAATACATAGAGGCTCCAAATATGAGAATACCTTTCTCTTTCCTCTCCCTCCCTCACCCCTCCCTCCGCCTGTCCGTTTCTCCCCTCCTTTCTTTCCTTCCTTCCCTCCCTCTCTCCCTCCCTCTTTTCCTTTTCCCCCTTCCTTCCTCCCTTTTCTCCCTCCCTCTCTGTACAACAGCTCTTTCCTATTGTGGAGTACTTTCAGAAACTGTTTGGCATTTTAGGAGCTCTGTTCAAAAGAAAACAGTGCTCTTTTGTTGGTGGTGGGAACATGAGTCCAATTATTTTCAGACCAGTGCTGAATCTCCTTAACTAAAAACATAATCCCTTTCATATGATGACTCATTATCACAGAGTCATTTGCATAGAAAAAGGAAAAGAATCACTGGATGATGAAGATGAGAGCAGAGATGCATTAAATTATTTTCAAAATGTAAGTGCTTTATATAGGGGAGAGGAAAATAATTTCATTTTCTATTTTTCCGCTGATAAAATAATGCACTGGGCTATTGACAATGGGTCTGTCTATTTCTTCATGTTTTCAGCTTCAAAGATAAAATATTTCCCTTAGCCTCCCATGTAGTTTTATTTAGGGCTCCAGCCTTTCTAATTATTCTCATCAATTACTCCTTCAAAACATTTCTTCATTAGTAACCCCCTGTTTAACTTTGTATGGGATCTATTGGTCCCTTATTCTTCCCATCTTTGAATTTTTTTCAGAAATGAAAGTTGCTTTTGTTGATTTTTGTTACTTAATGCTTCATGTTCATTATAAAAATTATTAAAATACAGTAGAAAAATAAATTTTAAAACTTGAAAATTATTCAGTATTCTATCATCTGTAGACACCTTCTGTTAATGTTTTGGTAAACACTCTTTCAGAATTTTTCCTGTCCTTTTTTCTCTTTGCGTCTTTATCAGTCCATTATGCCTCTGTAATTTGCTGTATTGGTTAGTAATATGTCACGAACACACTTCTGTGTAATAAATGTTTAACTTCTTCAGGGGTCTAGGTTATTTAAGATTTTTTACTATTATATATCATGTGTTGATAACATTTGAACCAATTCTTAAATTATGAAATGAGCTAATGATACATCTGACAATGGAAACACTGACAATCACTCATTACTGTACATATGGAAAACTCCCTATCGCAACTTGAATTACAAGAATTCTACAAGTGTTTTGTCTGCTGAGAAGTCTCTTCATACATTTTTGGTATTTGTTTCAGGGAAATACACCTTTTTAAAAATAAAGCTTACAGATAATAACTATAAATGTCAGATATGAAGTAGCTTTTTTGGGGGGGTGGGTAGGAAGTAGTAACACTAAGCGTAAGGTTTTGGAAAGAGAATAAAGTTGAAATCCACTGTCTAGAATAACTCAGTCATTGCAGCAGAGTATAGGAGGCAGGGTATGACAGTATCACCCTTCATTCATACTTCTTGACTGAAGATAGGTTTTTTTGTTTGTTTTTTTGTTTTTTGTATTTTAAGCTGGTGACCCAGCTCATTCATTTATTCAAGAAAACTGTGTTGATTATCTTCCTGGGGCAGATATGAAGCTGGATACTAGCAATACAGGGATGGATGTTGCTTGTTCTGTCTTCACGGTGCTCATGGTTCACAGTGGGGAGAGGGGCAGTGGATAGTTGTACTGCTCAGAACACGGCAGACAGCATCAAGACAGGGAAATTCTGCTGGCCTCGGACCCAATGTGCATCCTGCTCGGGGAACTCTTTTGAATTTATCACTTACAACCTTTTTTCAAGTCCCAAAACATATCTTTAGAGTAGGTTCAAAGTCACTCCTTGATGTGCTAATTGGAAAGTGGAGAGGAATTGCAAAAACTGCTGGCTAAGGCTAGTCCTGAGAGGGAAGAATAAGGTCTCAGCCATCTTCTCGACATACTGTCCCTTCTTGAGTGTGATCCCAGTTCTTGTGTGTGATCCCAGGCTGGCAGGTGAATACACCTGCAATCATGGAGCAAGGAAGTAGTTGCCTGCTGTATAAAGCTGAAGAGTTACATTCAGCAATCTTGTAACTGAGCAGGACCCTGTGGGACCTTCTGGGGACAAACCCCTCCCCCATATCCTCTGCTGTAGCTCCTCTCTGACGTACCCAGGTAATAGTGTCTCATGTGTATTTCCTAAGTTTTTTACATGCTAAAAACCACTACCAAAGTGTAGAAATTAACTACTTGATGATTGAGAGCACATAGCACCCAGACTTTCTGGTGCGGAGGGGTTGATAGTGTTGACTGCCCTCTTACCTCATCGTCAACCAATCAGAGGATTGTGCATGAGCTGATGACAAGCTCTGTGATCCCCTCCCTTACCTGGCCTTTAAATATGCTTTGCTGAAACCCTTTGAGAAGTCTGGGGTTTTCTTGGCCATGAACCACCCAGTCCCCCTTGCCGGGCCCTGCAATCAACCTTTCTCTGCTCCAAACCCCAACGTTTTGGTTTCTTGGGCCTCATGGAGCATCAGGCACACAAATTTGCATTTGGTAATAATTTGACTGCATGTGATGACTTAAGAAGTTGCTTAGAAGGTTTTATTATAGGATTGTTGGGGCAGTACAGTATTTGTCCCTTCTTACTGACATATATAGAAAACAGAATGAGTGATAACTTCTTACTGTCTGCAGGTTTTATCCAAGCTTCTCAAACTTCAATGTGCATAAAAATCACCTAGAGATCTTATTGAAATGCATATTTGTAGTTCTTAGGTTGGGGTGGTGCCTGAGATTCTGCATTTCTAAAATGCTTCCAGGTAATGCTAACACTGCTGGTTCACTGATGGCACCTCGAGTAGCCAGGACCTAAGGTGTCTTCATGCCGATGAGGATTTGCCTTTTGTAACTTCATCTATTTCTTTGTAGCCGTGGTGATGGTCCTAAATAGCATGAGTGTCAGCTGGAGCGCCCGGATCCAGATTTTTCTAACCTTTTGCAAGCTCACAGCAATTCTGATAATTATAGTCCCTGGAGTGATGCAGCTAATTAAAGGTATGGACTGAAAAGTAAATGCTTTTTAAAATACGTATCTGCTGTTGGTCTCTTCTAACACTAACTTTTGCTTGTTCTAGCAGAATCCCTTAATTAGTCTCTCTGCTCATGGAACTTAGACTCTATACTGTCATCTAATTGATTTGAAAGCCTGCAACACTGGGGAGTGGGTTGGTATAATGGCAACAAGAGGATTAAGACTGGGCCAAGCAACAAAATAAGGCATCAGTGAATTTCTTCTCAGTATAAACTGGTCGTAGTGAAAACTCAAAGTAGGAAAAAAAATAAGCTGTTAGTTTTAACTATAGATAAATATGTCCACTTATTTCTACTTTAAAGTAGTTCAACAATAGTATTAAAAATTAGAGAGAAAAAGGCATCTGAAAATACTGAAACATGATGAATAATTTACTTTATGATTATTATTCCTTTTACCTTGAGGATGAAATCTGGACAGAGATAGTCCAATATGGGAATAGCATTCCTAAAATAACAAATACCATCTGACAATAAAAATAGTTGTAAAAAAATTTTTTTATTGTTACATTATTTTTAATGTAAAATCTGCATTTCTGCAGAAATGTAATGCCATTTTCCGGGATTATTTGCCTTATAGAGTTGTCTATTAAGTAATAATAGATGAGATGGGTGAGGATGATGTCATTTCGAGTTTCAGTTGTTCCAGGGAAGAAGGCACACTCAATTGCTTGGATTCAGGGGAAATTGTTGGAAGAGAAGGAGGACCAGGTGAGTTACTCAATGAGCAATGGATGCAGTAGTAGGAAATAAGTAGGAAAGTGAGATGAAATTGTAAAGAAGTGACTTACAAGTTGGGCATGTTAAGTATTTAATGTTTACATTGATACTGTCTGTTCCAAGAACAGGATTTTATAGAGAAGTTTAATGAAGCTGCAGAAGATGAATTACACAAGGCAAAACGAAATGCCAAAATTCAGCAAAACCTTTGCTGATGGTAGAGGCATTAAACAATAACAAACGTGGAAAGATTCGTCACTCTGTAGCTGGGGAAAGGGAGCTGCTGCTGTCCATTTAATAAGCCTAGTGGGAGACCTTAGAACTCTCCTGGCTAAATGTTTGCATTAAATCCAGCAACCTCAGCCAACTCAAAATAAACACAGTGGAGATTTTTTATGCTATGGCTTATACTGAAGGGAAGACGTGAGCTCATTCATGTAATTCACATTGGAGTAGGCCTCCATAGAGCTGGCCTGCTCACATTTTATCTGATCCATTAGAAATGTAGGGAAATAGTCTGTTTTGTTACTGCTTTCCTTTTCTGGGCCAACTCTTAAGACTTCTGTAAGAAATTTCTTCCATTTTTGGAACGTGCAGAAACTCTGGTCATTGACCCATCTTTTCTTCTAGTTTCGGGTCCAAAAGATGATGCATTGTCCTTTAAGACAAAGATTTTTTCTTTCTTTTTTTCTTTTTGATGTAATGTAAGACTGTAGTCAATTTTTACCACTTATTTATATATGTGGGTAAGGTGAGGTGGGTTTTCCCAAATGTTACTGAATTGTAAATTTTATGAGAGCAGAGGTCATGATGTATCTTTTGGATTTTTTTTTTGGACATTTGCAATAGGATGATTCTTTAATACTTATATTTTTACCAAACCAGACTTGGATCTGCTCACCCTACAGGACTCAGCAAAGCCAATCTACTGACACTGGGTTGTGGTAAAGGAAAGTACAGTATTTATTACAGGACCAAACAAGGAGAATGGGCAGCTCATGCTCAAAATACCTAAACTCCCTGATGGCTTTCAGGGAAGAGATTTAAAAGACAGTGTGAGAGAGAGGGTCTTGGGATGTGTGATGAGCTCATGCACAATTCTCTGACTGGTTGATAATGGAGTAACCGGTAAGGTCACAGGGGTCAGCATTTTCAATCCTCAGGTTTCAAGCTGGTTTAGGGGTTACATGATTGTGGTCATTGTGCAGTTAGCTTCTATCACTTGGTAGGAGTTTTAGTATCTGTAAAATGACTCAAGGATATGAGTCAGGATAAAATCTTCAGCCCCTGAGGAGGAACTGAAGGATCTTGATTTTGTTTTATGGCAAACTATTCTAATATATTTTGTCTTGCTTAACTGCTTTCCTTTGTTTCTTCATTCTCTCACGTCGCAGATTAAACTTGCTCTTTAAAACTCAGGGAAGGCCTAGGAGACTAAAGCTTTTCTATAAACAAGAGGCAGGGAATAAAGGGGTCTGCCCCTGGAAAGGCCTCAGTTTCAATCTCAAAGTTTTAATGTGACCAGATTTCCTTATGTATCTCACATAATAGAAAAATGACCTAAGAGAGTTTTACCACATTTAAAGTAAATTTTCATATTTAGGAGAGCATTCTTAGCAGGAATATTTATTACTATAAAATGATGATTTTCTTTATAATTTATCACTTGTTTTTCATATTAATATGAAACTTTAGGAAGAGAAAATTTGACTAATACACATTGTGCATTTATTACTAATATAACCCAATCCAGAAAATGGCTATATGTTATATATTCTCTTATGAGGATTTGATAAACTTTCCTTTGAATATAATGACTTTGATCTTCTTGAGATCAATGTTATGCAGCCAAAATATTCCCAAAGCTTAGAAATGCCTTTCTTTTGTAACACTCTCAAAATGGCCCATTTCAGGATCTGTGCTAGGAATCTGGTCTTTACAAAATTTGGTATCTTTCATAGATTTTTTCAGTGCTACACTCTTAGGAATAGTTACTTAAGGCTAAGGAGACCACAGATCATGATAATGTAATATTCAACAGAAGTTTTTTATCTGGGTTCTAGTACGTACATTTTCCTTTTATGAGGACCCAGAGATGTTTTAGTAAAATGAGTATGTCTGAATTGATGGTATCATTTTAAAAAATGAACTGTATTTGGGAATTGGATGCTTCAAGGGGAAAATCATTTAGTATATAACTCAGCATTCTCCATTTTTGGTTTTAGAACTCTTACCTTTTTTTGATACATATGTTGTCTTCTGGACAATGCAGGCAAAACCAGATTTGAGTGAAGAGAGAGGATCTCATTTATCATCCACCTCCTTTTCCTCTGTTATTTACATATGTGAAGACCAGTTTTGAAACATTTCTCATTTGGGTAATCTCATTTGCTATTTTCTTTGGGCAATGGAGACATTTTATGCTTAACTTTAAATCTTGGTTGACTAAAGTAAATCTGAATTTCTGTTTTTTTAATTATCCAAAAGATACACAAGAAAAGTCCCATTATGATTTATAAAGTGGAGAAAAATGTGATGCCTAAAAGTGTTCAATCCACATGTTGATGCAAAATTTGTTAAAACCTATTTATTTTAGTGTTCAGGAGAGTTTCTTTTCAGTGTTTCTAGAAGGAAATCATGCCATTCTCTAGGAAACAGTCAGTGGACTTCCTCTGTAAATGCCCAGAGAGTAAATGTTTTCAACTTCTTGTGCCACGTGGTCTCTCCCAAATCATACAGTTCTGTTGGAGAGGGAAATTAGCCACAGACTGATAGTATCAGTCATGAGTAAATAAGTGGGCCTGGCTGTGCTCCAACAGACCTTTGATTACAGAAGAAGCTTGGGGGTGGGAGCAGATCTGTTCCACAGGGCTTTCCAGCCCCTCTTGGTATCTAATGAACTGTAGGGGAAAAGCAGAAAGTAGAAAGTGAAATGATGTAGGAAGGCGGTTCTGGGGTTTCATGCCACCTCCTCATTGAGAAGTGACCCTTCAATATTTCTTCCCAAGCACTGTATTATCTTCATTTTTAAGAATTCTATCACACTCCTAAAAACTAGATTTTACAGAAGAGCCTTTAGCCTTTTTTTGTGGACAAAAACTCTGTGAAGAGCAGAGGCACGCTTAAACAAGGGATTGTGTTTGAAATGCCATTTTCCTCTTTGCCATGATTTTATTAAAAGAAAAGTGAAGTTGTGTTAGTGGTAATCAGTATACTTTGGGGACTCCTTCTCTAGTGTGGGTGCAGCATTGATAAAGTTAGAAATGAGCAGAGAGTAAGAAATCTGGACCTAAACTCTATGTAGTTCATCCCCAGCCACTCTGTCTTCCCCTCTTCGTGTTTACGGTTGAAGAAAGAATAACAACCAATTCTTTGAAAAGTCCTAAATCTTTCTATTCTCACTGCAGGACAAACACAACACTTTAAAGATGCCTTTTCAGGAAGAGATGCAAGTATTATGGGATTGCCACTGGCTTTTTATTATGGAATGTATGCATATGCTGGCTGGTAAGTTTTTATCTCTGTCAACTGGTGGTTTGGATACTTAATTCCTTCAAGTACTGTGATCAAGTGCCAAGCAAGGTGCTGGGCAACTGTGAACAGCCATAATCCAGTGCGATGCGCTTTACACGAAGTGAGAAAGATGGCACGGCTCCCTTCACCAGGCTGATTACTGCGTACACGACTTCACACCAACATCATTCAGGTTTCCAGTCAAGGTGACTGCTGGATTTAGCCTGATAATATGAAAAACAAACAAATGCTGGGTCTCATGAGCCAGTACAAATCACTTATAAGTATGTATAAGTAAGGGCATAATAGTGCCACAAGAAATTAAAGATTAGTCTTTGCTTGTCAAAAAGCTTTCCAACTGAAGCTCCAAGGGTGTATACAAATAGTGATTGATTGATTTTCTCCACCTTCCCATGAGAAAGAAACAGTTCAGGTATAGAAATAAGTAAGACGTTTCCAAGAGGTAAAATGGTACTCTAAAGGCAGGAAGGAGAAACCCGGATGATGAAATCAGGTGTGCTAGATTCTCTGTTAATGATTGAAAGGACCTTACAAATTCCTTAAAATTTCCTCAGCATTTGAAAACAAAATGCGCAGCAAAGATGAATAAAATCACTCGGCTTCAGGTACGGTTCCTTGAATGCAGATTCAACTGTGATACCTTTCTGGATGAAGCATTAAAACTTTGTATTTTTGTCTTGCTTTGTTCAGGAACTTGAATAACAATAATCATGTCTGTGAGTGGGATTTCTTCCTAATTAAATTTTATTGATCTAGTAAGATTTAGTTGAGGTGACTGTTGGGAGAAAGCCCAGTAGGAAGAATAGTGTTATTTAAACATCAAAATAATTGTAAGAAAATTAAATTTCACTGTTTTGGAGTAATTGGTAGCAATATTTCTTTTTTAGTATTTATAGAGCTAGTGGTTGTACAGTGTTAGCTGTGAGAATGTTGTATGAACCTAAAAATAATAACAAACCACACTAGCTCAAAAATCATATAAGTGCATTTCAAACACAAGTACAATTTCCTTTTGTTCTTTAATTTTTAGGCTCTTACCTTCCAGCAAATGCATGGAATATAAAAATATATTTCAAAATAAATGGAGGTTTTACCCTAGTAATCTGATTGGATTATGGAAATTTAGCACTAGAGGAGGATCAGGAGAGGACAGGAACTAAAAATTTTAACATGGCTTTTGAAGCAAAGTGTCTGAAGTTCTTAGAAGATTGTTGCTCTCAGAAGTCTAGTGTGAAATATTTGTGCATTCTCGGAATATTTTGATAGCCATTGTCTGTGAGCATTAGTCTCGTATCACTCAGTATTTCTGAAGTCTTTATATTTTTGTTCAAAGCACAATGTAGTGCTGAGCGGAATAAAGAACAGAGTTGTGATCACAGGGTTAGCAGCAGAGTCATCTGTTCTGTGGCTTTTCAGCCTGGATCAGAGCCCTGGCACCCTGGGGCAACAGCCAAGCACTGGGAGGGTCACCAGGAGATGCCAGGGTGAAGCAGGGAGGTGGCAAAAGGCTTTCAGGCAGAGCCAAGTGTTGGGAGCTCGGCAGTGTTCAATCAGGAGTGTGGAATGTGGAGATATTCACAAGGGAGATTTGATTAATTCTATTGAATGAAGTTTCTTTTGCCTGTGAGTACCCATGCATCTGTTCCCACGGAATCTTAAAATACTCTTCTCCCCAACTCCCTCGCCTACTACAAGTGCTGAATATTCAGGTCACCTGCTTTATGTAGAGCAAATCTTCTCCACTTCTGTAGGCTTTCAAGGGCTGGTAGATTTCTCCCAGTATAAAGACTCTTTTCATTTTGAATTATGTTCTTATCTTAATATTTAGTTTTATTGATGCTGAACCCAAAATGTTACTGTTGTTAAAATGATTTAAAATGACAATTTAGGTGATACAAACAAAAGTCCAAAGAACAGCAAAATAGAGTGGAGGACAGGAAGCTTTAATAGCATGAGGACTAAGGAACAAAGAAGAGAAAAACAGAAAATGAATATGAAACAAGGAAGTAAGTATAGAGCCCAATGTTGGCTTGGTGTTTGGAGTCTGATTGGCTCCATCTTGAGCCTAGAAATTTATTCTTCAACCCTCTGTTGACAGGGTAAATAAGATTTACATGAACCTTTATTTATACTTTTACCCATAGAATCCTCATGTCCACTCCCTATTTTAAAGAATGAGAAATTGTTGATTTTCTTACATTCTGGAGGGTTCAATGGGAAATTAAGTCTAGGATTTTAAACAGAATGTTGTCTGATACAAGTGATTTCTGTAGGGGACAGATAGGTAACTGTACTTCTCTAACAGGCTGTTTGGCTACCTAAATGCTGCTCTGTGGACGGGTAGAAATAATCTGATTGTTAATCTATGGCCATCGGTCTTAGAAAAAGGGAGCTGTGTTTAGAAGAAATTGTCTTTTGGTTTGGAGTTGCAGAGGAAAAGTTACTATCTGGATATAAATGGAACATGATGGGAGCTAAAACAGTTTCCAAAGTGGGGGGGGGGCATTTAGGCACTTTCCAAATGTGATCCTGCCTTTCTGACCTCTCTTTGCCTTTCATGATAGAATTTAAAGACTGAGTTGTGGAATTATAAATGGGGCACTGTAAGTGAGCCTCCACTCCCTGTGCTGCCGCCCTGACAATGTTTGATGCGGGGGGGGGGTAGTATAGGGACATTGCAAATAAGAAGGCAGAAACAGCTATTGTCTTTAGAATTTAACCACCTAGAGGGTAAGTAAAAGCAGCAAGACCTTTTTGTTTTCTTTGAGGGCCTTGTTCTGTTAATGAGTCAACCTCTACGTGTTGAATGGGAAAAAGACACTGCCAGACCTTGGATCTGAATAGAGCAGGCTTTTGGCCGTGAGGCGTGCTGGACCTTTTCCGAATGATGAAAACTCCTTCACAGAAACATGATTGGGGGAAAGAAATCATTAACCCAGCCAGGTCACAGAGCTGGGTCAGAACAACTTTAATATTATTGCCAATGTCCGCATTCAGAGAAATATGTCTGCCAGTCTCCCTGGGGACCTGGGAAACTCAACCAATTTCAGTCCCATATCCTGATCCAAAGCTAAATATTGCTTGGTGGGATTTTTTTTTTAAACTGTGTGATAGAAAATAGTTTTTTTGGTGTCTTTTTTTCTTCCTTTTAAATCCTATCCTCAGTGGGTTTAGTCTTTCTAAAACACCTGCTGGGATTATTTTGTAGCATTGTGTCAGATCTAATCTAAATAAGCTTCTTTTTAAAATAACTCACCTCGTTGGGTATTAGAATGCATTGCCAGCTTTGTAGTGCTTTTTCTACACAACCATGGAAAAGCTGGAACAATAGATCTTGTGAACATTCTCTGGAGAACTTGAGGAGATGTAAAGCAAGAAGGATCTCTGGACGCGTTGCTGGAGACCAGGAGAGCATAACGGTGTATTTCCCACAGGATGCGAATGTTTGGACCAAAATAAGCAGCTTTCTCCTTCCCACTCCCCTGCCCTATCCCAAGCCCTTGCCTTTTCTCTGTGGCAAATATTTGAAATTGGGTTCTTTTTTCATAAATATTTCCATTCCTGTCTTAACGTTGTTGGAAAAGACCAGTTTAGGAGGAACTGACTATTTTTGAATCAAGAAGCCCAGAAATATTTCTAAATGTGTGTGTGTGTGTGGGGGGTGGTTGTGAGGTCTTTTTGTGTTTCTTTGTTTGTTTGTTTGGTTTGGTTTTTTCCGTTTTCTTCCTGTACTTCCCATTGCCTTGGGCTTAGAACCAACACATCAAATCCCTCCGAGCGCATATTCCAGATATAAGTATTGATTGTTGCTTGCCTTGCTGATATAACTACAACCTCTATTTTTAGCAACTTACTTTCTAGTCATTAAAAAATACCCTTGGCTGCTCACTTTTTGGTCACCTTTATTGCTACTGTTCTCTCAGATATTCAAATGTTTCTACTTAGAACAGAGTCCTTAAAATATTAGACACCTTAGCTTTCTTAAAAGATAAACTGAGGGATATTAAAATTTTTAAGAGTTTGAGCAAAAATTGATTTGGTTTGGCAGCATCCCATCTAGCAGGTAGAAGGGAGCTCTGGGGAGCTGTACAAAATCGGAAGACTTTTATAGGCAGAAGTGGTCAGGGAACAAGAAAGGCATAAGCACAAAAAAGAAAAAACCCACCAGATTGGTTATTGCAAAGTCATTGTCATTTAGAGGATGGCAGAGTCTGTCAGGCAGATTATCTAAATGGTGCAATTCCTAATTGACTGGCTCAAGATTCCATTTCTGGGAGATCTGAAACTTTACATGAGTGAAGTTTTGGTTTGGTGATGTGAAGCTTAACATAAGTGACTCCATCTTGGGGTAGTTGTCTTGTATTTTTTTACAACCATGAGCATCAACTGCCTACTTGTGAATTTAGATGGAGTTTTTATAAAGATGGAATAAGACAGGTTTTCTCATCTTCAAGTTATGAAATGCTTTAAGTATAAAGGATGATGGGCTAATATTCCAGCCATTTGGTTTTTGAGAATTTGTACCTATAGACCCGTATGTCTGTGTACTTATATGATGGCTAATTTACCTTCTAAGGAATAGTAAGAACACAGAAGAGTATATTGAAAATATGACTTTATTACTTTGTGAAAATTTCCTGAGCCTATACAGTGAAGAGGTAGAAAGGTCTTTGTCTTCATGTCTGTCTCTCTCTGGGGCGACCCCTTAGTTTTCTCATCTTCATGATCCAGTTATCTCTATATGCTTATTTGAGGAGTCTGCCTCAATCTTACATCTTAGAACCTTGAAAAAGAACTTCAAGGGTTTTAAAAGGTCTCCAGCAATCCCTTTAGACTGGAAAAAGAAGTCAAGGATGCAAGGCAGTAGACATCCCTGGGTGGGACGAGTAGACTCACCAAGTGAAGGAAAGGAATCTGAATCTCTCTAGGGCCGTAATGTGAGGTAGTATTTGAGCTCCTGCAGAGCTTGATTGTGCGCCTAGGATGCTTCTTGTCTGTGCGAGACCCACAGAAGTGTTCAGGGCTCAGGGGAAGTATTCAAAATGTTCTGCTACTTAGTTATCAACTTAGAGTATAATGACAAACAATGGGTCTAAAATTAGCTGCCTAAATGTACAAAAACGAAAAATAGCAATTTCATAGTTGCTATTTTGCATAAGGTACAGTTGCCTTATGACTTGAGGTTATTTGGGCAGGATGCATCCTGGAAAACAGTGACTTGCAAAGAAGAAGTGCAAATTGAGAATTGATTATCTTTTATCCCATTTTCATTTTCTACTCACCCTTTGTGTCTAAATCCAGGGCAAATGCTATTGTCATACTTCTCTTGTCTTACAAGTTTTGATTGACATGTTACTGCTACTAAAATCTGGATTCCCAGAAGCCAGAGGCCATCTTGTACTTACATTGTGTTCTCACTTCCCCCAGTATTCTGTGCTGCAGAATACTCAACTCTTGCTCACACCCCCATGCACAGCATTTTATCACACCCCCGTGCTTGTGTGCTACACTCCATCTGGAGTGTCCTCACACCACTTCACCAGGGCTAAATGTTAAGCATTTTAGAAGACTCGACTTGGGTGATGCTTCCTTTTGAAAACCTTCCCTGACTGTCAGTCTGGGGGTCTGACCTCACCTCTGGCTCCCGTGGTACCCTGGGCATGCTCCAGCACAGCCTCCTGTGCCTGCGTGTCACATGATTCTATGGACTATTTCATGGACTATGAGCTCCTTGAGATGAGATATTATAGATTTTCTCCTTTTATTTCCCAAGTGACCAACACATGGCAATCTCATATATTGCTGATAAGCATGCAAAAAAGGTAGAAAATAGTGTCATAGTAAATACACATCCACTCTGTGACCCAGTGATCATATTCTGAGTATATGCCCAAGAGAAATGATTGCATGGTCCCCAAAAGGACGTGCACAAGCATACTTATGATTTCTGCATTCATATTAGCTATAAATTGGAAGTAATTAAAATGTCCATCAATGAGAGAATATACAGTGTTACATTCATATAATGAAAAGCAACAATAAAAAGAAATCAATTACTGCTACATACAACGACATGGATGAGACCCACAAACATGAAGTCCAGCAAAAAAGCCAGACACATAAGAATAAGTATTGTATAATAGTTGTACAAGCAAATATTAGTCTATTGTGATGAAATAAGCAAAACTAACCTATAGTGGTAAAAGTCAGAATAGTGGTTGCATTTATGTGAGGGTGGAGGAGATGATAGTGATTGGAAGGGCCTTGAGGAATGTTTTGTCTCTTGATATTTTTGTTGGTTACTTAGATGTATAAATATGTAAAAATGCATCAGGTTATACATTAAGATTTGTTCACTTCACTGTTCATATGTTAAACCTCTATAAAAATGTTAAGAAATAACAAAGAACTCCACAAATACTGTTTAATAGAAAACTGATTTGTGGGAGCTTTTGATGTTGGAGATTTTCATCTTAGGTTAGTTGTTTATAAAGTTTTTATAATTCTAAATTTGATTTTAAATACTTAAAATTTGAAATTTTGGATTATGATTATAAAATACATTGATCATTTGTACTGCATTTATATCTTTTTAGGTTTTATCTCAACTTTGTTACTGAAGAAGTGGAAAATCCTGAAAAGTAAGTAGCCATATTTACTCTGCAATATTTATGAAGAGTGAAAGGTAAGGTTATATATTTGAAGAAGTAGACAACGAAGGAGTACAGTGTGGGCCAATTCACTTTCCCATCGTCATCATCTTCTCTTGGGCAAGTAAAACTTACTTAATTTTATCATAAACTAGATGTAAATAACTGTATTATATATTCTACTTTCAATACTAAATTATCTGGTAACCTGAACGCACAAAAGGATAGAGTTGCATTTTAGGTGACCTACTTCATAAAAACGTACGATTTAACATGGACTCTCAGCTGCCCACAGATGTTCCATAAGATGTGAACTCCAAAAGTTGACTATTTCTAGTAACTCATAGGAGTTTTTTGTAACTATACAGTTAGTTACAACTATACAATTGTGGGCAATTAATGGACAAGCCTTCAAATAACTGCAGATACTCTAGGGACTTGTAAACTTTGGGAGCTGGACGATTGCTTGTAAAAGTTTTTTGTGGTTAGTGATCCTTTTGATGATTAGATGAGTTGATAATGACTTCATGTTTAAACATGAATTTTTTTTAACCTAGAACTTTGAAAAATGAAGTATTTTTATTGTTTGTGTAAAAACCTGATTTTTTACAGGAAAATCATGTAATCTGTGGCCAGAAGAGGGAAATTTTTAAGTAGTACAGAGTAAGATATAGACAGATTCTTGAAGTTGTTTAGTTCATCTTAATTTTATTAAACAACTACCAAGTTCTAACTATTGTGTGTCATTTTACATGAGGAGTAAGGCTTGTATTCAAGAATTGTCTAGTCGCTGAGTCAAATGTGCAAATAATTGTAACATAGTGTGATTGATACCATATTAGGTTACTTTCCTAGTTTGACAGAGACGAAAGGAGGAAATATTTAACTCTCTCCAGGGAGACGTTGCTTACATAGAGTCTCAGATGATGAGTAGGTGTTCCTTAGATAAATACAGGAGAGAGAGAGAATGGGAGAGAAGAGGGGACAGACCTCCATGAAAGGGAAACAAGTATAGAGGTGAGTGAGTAAGAAGTAGACAGGACATCAGAGACCATGCCTTAATTCAAACTAAGGTGGACTAAAATTCTGGCACCAAGTATGTTGGAAGGTAGTAAGCTGATTAGATCTGGCCAAGTACCAGGGTTGTGAGAATTTTGAGCACACAAACCAGAAGTTAGGCTAAAATGATGTCTCATACTATCCGATTTAACTTTTATACAAACACTCTGCAATTTAAACATGAGAAAAGTTTGTTTTATTGAGAAATATGATAAATTTATAACAGTGTTTCATATTTACAACTGGAATTGTGGTAGAGAACATACATTTACCAGGAACTAGTTGTTTCTGGCATTACTTTGAAATGGTAAACTACATTATGATTACAGAGATAAATAGGTTGCCTTGTCTTTTATTTTTGAGAATAATTAGTGTGTAGGTGGCAATGCAGAGGAAAGACTCCTCTTTTCTTTAAAGTATTTATTGAATTCCATTGTGGGAAAGAGATTACTATGGTTTATGACTGTTCCTTTTAAGCCTAAAAACATTTTAAAGAGACCAATTACTAAAATCCAGTATCAGAGAGTGTTTCTTATGAAAAGAATGGCAGACTGTAGGTTTGTGGATGTGACCTATAATGTGACGTCTATGATACATCAGTGGCATAGAAATAGTTCACATTCTCTTTTAATGTTATTTAACAGTTTGTGCATAGATTTTGTTTGTAATACATACTGTAATATTCCTGTGTATATTAAGCATATTTAAAACTATTTATGCTATTATTAATTTGATCTGAGTTTTGATGCATTCTACCTGAGTCATATGGCCATCAAGGATTCTCTCTTTCCTTCTTTCTCTTTCTTAATTTAGGAGCCTTAATTTCACACATTGATAATGTCCATGATCAATTTATATACAAATACTAAAGAATCGTGATGTATTGCTTCAGTGTTTTTGTTGTGGTTATGGTTGTGGTTTTGTTTCTAATTGCAAAGAAATTTCCTTATCTCAAAAAAGTAAGAATAATAATAGCACCTACCTCCCTGAGTTGTGGAAATCAGTTAATATGTGTAAAATGCATAGATTAGTGACGTATTTTTTAATCTCTACATAATTGGTTGTTGCTATGATTATGATATCTTTATTTTGGGAACAAAGTAAACTGTAACATAAGAGTATTTCCTAGGTTTCAATATCCTAAGCAATTCTCTTTCTTCAGTGTTTTTGAAAGAAACATGACAAAATTATTTCACACCATATTGAAGCCTGATCTATAAGATTAAGGCTGAGATTGTTATCACTGCTTACATTGGATGAAGTATTTTCATTTTCTGGAAACCATGATTCTGCAGATTTCATTATATATTCCTGGAATACTTTTAATAAAATTATATTTTGAGCTCTCAAACTAAGGAACTTCTCAGGAGAGATTACAAATTTCTGGATTTTTAGGTCAGGAAAATAAGTAACTCTTAGGACAACCTGAAGAAAGAAACCTCTGATCCCTTTTTGTTCTTTTATATTAGGTACTCAGATAATCAATTTTTGCATGGAGGATTCTGTATAAAACTCAGACAGCACATTTGTTTTCTCAGAATATGAGAAATCTATAAAATCCCCTTAATGGAAAGTAAAGGTTAAGTTTGTACTATATATTAATCAACCAAGGAAATTCAGGGTTTTGAGCAATTTATTCAATGTCTTAAATTTTTAAAATAACATTTCCCTGAAATGTTGACAATTAGTCCAGTTCTTTTAAAACAAAATCTTATTTTTTTAAACACAGAGAATGCTTTGGAAACAATTGATGGTTGAATATGGATGACAGATGGTAAAATTACGTGGACCTAGTCCAGATGTGTAATTTGTATTATTTTGTGGGGAGACACAGCTCCAAAATACCTTTAGTTACCAGGGAGAATAATTCTACTTCCACCTCCTTTGTGACGTGCCAAGATAAATGTGTTTCCCAATCAGTCACGGGTGCATGCGTCCAGGTGTACTATAGCGTGCAGTGTCCTGGCAGCTGGCGAAATGAATCAGCAGCTGAAGATACAAAACTTTTTACTATCCTTCTCAATCTCAGCAATTAAATTTCCCTAAAATTGTGACCTAATTGAAAAAGGGATCATTAATTTAGATCAGGTAAAATACCAATGTGATTTAAAATATATAGTATGTAGAATAAGGTTTCATGATCACAATTGGGTACCCTTTACATATACTTTAATTTTAGTGGAAATCTTTCAAATTAGCTAACATTACTCTATGGAATAATTTCCAAGCTGCTATCATGAGTATGACTTATAGAACAATTCCTTAATGTAACAAGTGAGAGAGAAACGGAGAGATTAATGGTGGCAAAATAATTAGCTCCTGACTTCTTTCGTCTCTTAAGTCTTACTATTTTTTAAAGCTTGTAAATCACTAATCCTGAAATTCTGGGCAAAATTCCTGTTATATGATTACATCTATAATGTTAAAAAAATGTTCCTATGGTCATTCTTATAATTTATATTTTCTTCTCCAGGAGTAGCTTTGGATCTATGGGAGTAGTAATTCTTTAAGAGGCATTTAACATTTTTATGTGAAAATGCCATGGTTCCCATTGAAATTTTGTAGTAATATAAAACTATTCCATTTAATAATTATTTATAGCATGGTGACTGGCCCCGCAAATGATATACGTTAGAGTAAGAATATTGTTTTGAGGAGCATGAATGTCCAAAGTTTGGACCATGAAGGTAATAGAATCCCAAGGAATATGTGAATTTTAAAATGCCATTTCCACCCCAAATGAAATGTGTAGTGGTAATATATGCTAATTTGTTCTTAAAAATCAAAATGTTTTTGTTTGCAAATATAATGGGTTTTGCCCTATGATGTTACTTTTGTGGTGGCCATGCAATCTGTCATTGTTCAAAAAGTCACACGGTGCAGAGAACATATCATTGAGATGTATAATGTTTGTAATCCTGCTCTCGGATTGATAAATCATGTCTTGTGTTGATGAAAGCCAAGAAATGGATTACTTTACTTTGACCTTGGGGGTCTGAGATTAGTCAGTTTGTCTATTAGACTTGTTCCCGTGTTCTTCTCACTTCATTTATTCCTTCTGTTCTGAAGAGTTGGAAACAGTAGACTTGGAGGGAGTCAGTAAAGCTAATACCATCAGTCATTGTTGAAGAGCAGGCTATCAACATGCTCTGAATTATCAACTTTAATAGAAGGTTTAAATAATCAGAGTGTCATGTTTAATTAATACTTTACCTGCTTCCAATTTATATTAATTGATGTCTGAAAGTCATTGCACCTTGTACCAATGATAACTTAGAAGAAAAGAGATTTGATTTGGGAAAAATGCCCAAAGACCTTTAAGGTGATGTGATCAATCAGAGTGGTCCATAAATGGTCCACAATTACATTACTTACACTCAGTTCAGATGTTGCAGTCTTAAATTTTTGGTATATGTGCTTTTATCTTTATTGACTTGTATTAAGCCAGAGTGAAGGCGATTATTAATAATATTATACTGTTTTTAAAGGCCTATTTCTTACACGGCATATAAAATTAACCTGATTAAAAACATAGCAAAACAGAAATAATTTAAAAATCTTACCCAAATGAGCTGTAGCAGTTACATGAAAAAACATTAAAAATTGACTTGAAGTCTTTTATCTTGCATTATTTTGGTATTTTAAGGATGCAGTTTTCTATGAGAGAAATCTTCCTCTCTGTATGCTTTATAGGTTTCTAACGTAACAGTTGCTAGAAAATAGCATATAATGTCTTGACTATATATATGCAGATTACAGCAGTGTTATATTTTGTGATCTTTTTGTTGCAAAATAATGCTACCTACATTCTTAGAATATTTCCAAAGCACCTTTTACCAATACTCAAGTGCTGTATGTTCTTAAGCTATGTAAACTAATTTTCTCAGAAAGTTACCTCACTGTAAATAAACATATATAGAAAAATAAGAATT